CACAAAAACTTCTAAAGATCGGTTCTTCATCATGCTAACAAGTGTCTCCGACCAAACGTGTTCATTATCTTTCGGGTCCCAAATCGACAGTCGAGAGGCATCAACCGAAGCCAAACTCGAAATGCGAGTTTTCACTGATCGTGGCAAAGCCATGAATTAGCTTCCGTCCCTCCCTTGCGCAAACAACGCACGTCAAAGGAGTCGGCATGCTGGCTGCGTAGCACATGGCCGAACCATCAGAACATGATGTGTGAAGTAATGGTGCTGAGCGGTCCACTCGTTCTACCTGCATTAAATTCAAGGCTCCAAACACGCTCGTTGCGGACGTGGTGTCCTCTTCAGGCATGAGCTAAAATTCAAACGCACTGCCGGTCGAACGCAACTGGCTTCTTTATGCCCGTTGAAAACGTACAGTAGGGCTGCATTGCAGAGTCCACCCGTCAGGATGAGAGTCAAGTTGCAAAGTTGAGCAAAAGCACTTCAGGCTTTTGCTGTACGGTTTGTCACTTCATCTTGTACGCCACATGCGATAATTACTCAACTACATGTGTAATTGGGTCGGTCAAAGATCACTTAATCAGGGAAAGCGAGGCCGTGTCCTGGAGTAGAGTAACAGTAGATAATAGGTGTGATAGCGCCAAACTAAGCTGTGCTTGAGCATTTAATGTACCTGGCTCAATTTACAGCGTTAGGTAACACGGTGCTAAACACCGCTTGTCCAGACTTAACGTTCTACGATCACCCAACACCAGTCGTCTCAGAGTATCAGAAGGAGATATAGATGCGAAGATGAAAAGGAGCAATTGCAGCGGCAAAGTATTGTTTTGCAGAGTATAATCACTTCAAATGGAAACTCAAGACGAGGAAAAAGGAAATAGGCAGGTGCAGAAAGGCCGAACCGATTACCGAGAGCCGCACCATCTTCGGTAGCCGCGGGATCAGCTTTGGATACGCAGACGTCAATTGCATCCGATGAATCAGGCACCAAATCGCAAGCAGGAGAGTCCTGAGCGGAGACGCACTGCTCGTATACCTCATCCACTTTCGCCACGATCACCTGCAAGCACAGGGATGACATGAGTCCAAGTGACCACCTTACCTTCGTTTGGCCATCCCCCCTTATCGCGCTGATGGAACTCAGAATGATTTCAACTTTGGTGATAAAGTCCTCAAGTTCCGAGTCCGAATTAGAGTGGCTGTTGATGGAAGCTTTGAAAGCGCTTAAAAACAATGTAAGTGGAATTAAAAAACTAACTGGAGAGCCTCGGTGATCTTATCAACCTCAAGACAAATAGCATCTCGAACAGCTTCAACGTCAAACATTTTCTTGTATAAGTCGGCGTTGTCTTCAAGTGTTCGGTCGAGTTCATCCACGAGGGCCCGGAGCTCATCCTGGAAAAAATATGCAATATTTCTATTAAATGGTATAGTTGGATTATTCAGCGAAAAGTAGCAAGTCCATTGGGTCGAAAAGCACGGAATGAAGCAAAGAATGGGGCTGTCGATAGAAAAAAGAATTTGGGACGTAAGCTGCATTGTACCGCCCGGAGAATTTGACATGTGACAAATAAATGATTTGCAATATTCTCCACTAGAATCGGAGTACCCATATGTTACGCTACGCAGCTACGAAAGGAGAAGCACGTACAAATGATGGATCCGGTGCGGATCTTAACAGAACAAAAAGGTTGTCCGAAGATAGGTTCACGACAGACCAATATTAATTTTGGTCGAATAGTTGATGGAGCGTCCCATTCGAAAGCAAATCAAGAAACAATGCTCATCAGCAAAGAGATTGTATGTGAGCCGCTCGGTCCCGTGCGCGTAAAATGTAAACGGAACTAAATCATCGTTAAAATCAAAGCACATACATGAACAGGGTTTCGATGTAAAAAGTGGGACCGGGAATCAAGAACACCTCTGTTGTCCGGCTGCCTCGGTAGCACGCATAATTCCTAAGGAGCAGAAGGGGTAGACAAGGTGACGTACGTGTCAATCCTACCAACGGTCCACATTCAGTCCTAATATGGGTGACAACTAGTTTAACATTTGTCTGCCGGTAAAATGGATTTGAAGGTAGGCAGACAGTGCGAAACTAGTCTGTGGGTGATTGGGTCAAGCAGTGAGATCAGTTGAAACAGCATACCAACGGCGAACGGTATAGACGCGGAGTCCGATCAGTGTTGAGAAGCAAGGAACGGAAAGATTACGTGTCATTCGAACTAAAAGAGTTCATCGCACAAAGACAAGAAATTGTTGGAGATCAAGAAGTATTATCGCTCTGGATGGAATATATGGACCAGTAAAGATTAAGTTTGCCGAAATGACGATTATAAAATAGTGGTTAATCGAACTGTAAGAACCCAGGAAAATGCTGCGCATGACATCTGCATCTTAACAAGTAGGATTGTGTTGCTTGGTAATCTTGACAGCGAGAGGGCTATCATGCACGGGCCACAATGGCGGGGTGTAGGATAACCGGACCGAACGCGCGTTTGACCTGAAATACGGAAGCAACCATCAGGCAAAGTTAGTCTGTTGTGCTGGTTGACCATCCACGTTACACACAGGAGTGCCAGCTAAGTTGGGTGGGTTGAGTTGTGGAGCGGAACAGTGAGAACTGTGACAAGCTCTCCGATGATAGCTCACCCCCAAGTACCGTGCGATGGTGTTCGGGATGCATATAGAATCGGGTCGAACAACACCGTGTAAAGTCCAAAAAACATTGATTTCCTGCACAAGATGGATTATTCCCTAGTGATGGTCCAGTGCACATATTCCTGCCTAGTTCCACTCTCTAAATTAGGAACACGCTCTTTTCGAGCTTTAGATCGTATATGGTTATTCATTCACTTGAGTTGCAAGCACTTTGACTCAAGTTCACAGTTTCAGCAGACTGCTACTAACATTACTGTTATGGTTATCTGCTTTCGTCCGCTGACCGTGTGTTGCAAACCTAGTCGTGAGTTCTGTTTTGTACCTTAGCATCACAGTTACAGGATTATATTACAAATTCTTCTGTCCCAACGGTTTATGCCTAAGTCATGTGTATACTCAAGGATTTAATTCGAAGTAGTAATCAAGTGCATCTCATGTGACGTAATTCAATTTAGCGCGGTTCCGTTGTTACACGTCATTTGCACCCACAAGCAGAAAAGTGGCCGTGGAGCATAACTGTGCTGCACCAACGCGCCAATAAAATAATGCTACTAAGACCTAATTCGGATAAACGTTCAAACCAGTCCAGTCGATAAACTATCAAAGTGTGGTGCAGCCAATAGCTTCGACCCGTGTGAGCAAAGTATTAATAGTAATAATAATATTTAAAATCTTGAAAGACGCTTGGATCCGATCAAGAACACGTGTCTTGGAAAAGGTTTGGAGACATGACTAGAAAGGCGTGCCTCGAAACTTTCGATAATAAATTTACTTATTTATTCCCTCTAACCAATTATTTTCAGCGGGAGTAGCTAGGAATCGAAGATAAGGAAATGAATGCAACAGACATTGGATTCATGAGTGAGTCAGTTCCCATAGTGTTTGACAGTCGATGTGGTCGATGAGAAGGACTTCATCCAAGAACACCCAACATTGCCGCCGTGAATACGAGAGGTAATCAAAAAGAAACCGGCAGAGGAAGAGCGCTGCGCCTACTGAGCATTTCGCACTGACTGTTGGTTGGGAAGCTACAGCCGCTGAATTGAGCACGTGTACAGACTGTCCGTCGGATTGGTGCCAAAGTGACAATGAAAGAGATTGAAGAACAAAACGTGTGTGTGTGTGAAATTTTGCCAAACAGCAAAACTTTTACGCACATTACAATAGCTTAGCTAAGCATACGGTGAGGACTGTATGAGTCGCACGCAGTGTCAGAAGTAGTATAAGTGTTTTGAACACGGCAGAATGCCGGTCGGTGACGATCCCAAGCGTGGACGACCTTCCACATCAACAAACGACGACCATGTCGAGAGAGTTCGTGCTGTGATCCGTGGAAATGATTATTTAATTGTTCGAGAAGCTGCTAATGAAATGGGCATCAGGGTAGGATCATGCCATCAAATTCTAGCGCGTTTTAGGGACGCTGTGTGCAGGAATAAGCCCGAACTGTTGGAAAACCAGACTTGGATGTTGCATCATAACAATGTGCCAGCTCTTTGTAAGCAGCTATCTAGCAAAACATTACACTCGCGTTGTGCTCCTCCCACCGGATACTCAGCACCTAGCCCCTGCAGATATTTTCCTGCTGACCAAACTTAAAATCAGCCTGAGAGAACGTTTTCAAACCATAGTGAAGATTCAGCAGAATGCGACAAAAGACCTGCGCGCCATTCCAGAAATTGCGTTCCAGGAGGCTTCCCAAAAATGAAAGCACCGTTGCGAAGGATGCATTGCCAGTAGCTGGGACTAGTTTGAGGGTGAAAGTGCTTTAAATGTTATGCAATGAGCAATAAAGATGTTATAATAAAGGTTTGGTTTCTTTTCGAACACCGCTCGTATGATGTGGGAGTGGTACATCGTACACAAAGGGAACATCATCTGTCCTCGCCATGTAAAAACAAAACGCAAAATGTGACTACATGAGAACTCACTTCCAGTTTTGAAACTTTATCCGTTAGCCCCGAAATCATACCAGTGGAAGGATTCAATGCTGTGCGATTTCGTGCCACAGGACAAGGGCTCAGTATGGGTAGATGATAAGCCCCTTTATTCATGCGGGACTGCAACTGAGCAACTAAGGAACGAAGCCGAGCCAACTCGGCATCCTTGGGGTCAGCGCGATTTAGAATTGGCTTGTTTTTGATCAAGCGCGCACGATCAGCGTATCTACAAAGTAGATGTAAGTTTCCAGTTTTGTCATTATCGCATGGTAATGTGGTGACTAATAAGTGCTTACGACCGTCAGAATTGTGATGATGCTTGAGTATGAATGACAGCGTTAATGCACTAATGAGGAGCTTGCAAGCAAAATGCATAAAGGGAGTAAGGAATGAGATCAGAATACACGCGACGGTTTAAATTACCACAGCCGCACTACAATTATTAGAATGGACGAAACAATCCCTTTCAGATCTTTTTCCTACAAGATGAAACAGCCGCAGATCACACGTTCACGGAAATGTGAAAGATGTCAAAAGCGAGAAACCAAGCCAAACATCCTAGCTGGTTGGCAGGAAATCGTTGGTTGCCCATAGCGAACATTTTATAGTACAAATGTATTAAATCAGTTAACCAACACGAGTGTGTAAATGCACATCCAAATGTAGCTCGTCTTTCAGTATACAAACACTACATTAAAAAGAAGAGGGTGGAAAAAGCGACCCTAAGAGTGCAGACAGTGGCTGTACAAAAATCAATTCACACAGCTTCACGCACTTCAAACGACTATGACTATATATATATATATATATATATATATATATATATATATCACTTGAAATGACATTATCAAATAAAATATATCTGCTAAAGAATACGGCTACACCGACATAGCTCTTCGATAAAATAGCATATGAATTAAGGTAATTACCAACGAATCCGCGATAAGTACAAAATGTCCACAAGTCACCCAAAAATACTACGAACACAATAAAGTTAACGGAGATAAGCGCAATTAGCGTAAGCAACGTGGCCAGTTAATAGAAGATTATTCAGGTAGGCAGAACAAAGCAAATAAAGTGGAAGGAAATGTATGCGGCTTAAAAAGACCTAGTGTAAGTTGGTTTAGCCCAACTACGGTGAAGAAGCATCATGAATGCAACATCAGCCTCAGCATGGGGCACAAAGTGTTCTGCCTACCTGAATAATCTTCTATTAACTGGCCACGTTGCTTACGCTAATTGCGCTTATCTCCGTTAACTTAGTTGCGTTTGTGGCATTTTTAAGTAACTTGTGGACATTTCTTACTTATCGCGAATTCGTTGCTAAGCAACTTACTTCATATGGTAATTTAGGGAGGAATAATACCACCGTATCTGTATGCATTATTGGATTTATTTTATTTCAGTTTGTCGTTTAAAGTGAATGGCTGTTGCTTGATATCCCCGGTGTGGCTGCGCTTGATGTGCATGTTGACAAGGTGCCTACCTGTCTAATACCCACTACCTCGTCCATACTGGCTCCAGGAGACAGTCGGTCGTTGCTGGAGGGGACAGGGTGCACGTTTCTTGTGGCCGTGTTAGGATCAAAGAATGGTTCCATGCCCTCAGTGTGGAGTGGACTACGGTCCAGCCACCGCCTTGTGTGCACTTGATTCCCCAAATACAGCGTGCTTGTGTTTGCCGGTGAAGGAGTGTGGGCCGGCTCCGTTGATGAAACGTGGCTTCCATCCACATGCCTCCCGGTCTTACTCCTTCGGGTTTACACTGGATATGGAGTGTGTGGTTGGAGCTGTGGGTGGTGCAGCGCAAGCCACCCACGGTCCCTCTGTAGGCGCAGGCGTCCTGTGGCTGGCCACAGTGACAGGCAAATCCGAAACCGGATGCCGCCAACCATATATAACACTTTACGGATTACATTACAATTGAATGAGTGACACAACACATAAGAGAAAAAATAGATTGAAAGGGAAAACGACTGTTAGAGTAGAAGAGTCGCAAAGCAAGTGTGCCACTGCGTACGGTCCTTCGCCATATCCAGAAAAGTTTGCAACCCAACGTGCTCTTGAGAGTCTGGAGTGCCTAATAGAAGCCAGCTTCAACGTTTGTATCTTAAAGCATTGGATACAAGTTTTACCCTGGCTTCCTTGTCGTCGCTTTCATACCACGCCTGCGCTCGCAAATAAGGCAGATCGTGGTAGCCGCTGGGTAGGCATGTGAAGCACATGTCTAAGCCAGCGAAGCACATGCCCAAGCCAGCGAAGCCTACGCAGTGAAATGATGCTGTCAACCGGTCGGTGGTTTGTCAGATTTGTAGACTCGCCGATGGACTTCCCCATTACTGATGTGATGCTGCCATCGAACACCAGCAATGCTTCGTAGGCAGCGGTGATCGAAGACAACCGCTGGACATCGCTTTTGTGAAAGGGTCAAGTCTCACAGCCGTACAGCAGAATCCCTCGTACCGTAGCATTGAAGACTCGTCTCTGGAGAGAGAGGCTGAGATCACGACGAAGCCACAGGTGACGAAGGTTAGCGAATGCGACTCTGGCCTTAGAAACACGAAGGGAAATCTCATCCGTCAAACCACCAATACTAAGACAACTCCCAAGGTAAATGAATTTGTCGGATACCCCGAAACGATGAGAGATGCACTTGGCCAGTCCTGTAACAGGACTTTACATTTGGAAGGGGCAAAGATATACCCACATTGGGAGGCGGACATCCCCAGCCTAAGCAGCACGTGCTGGGTGGCCTGGGAGGACTCACAAATCACAGCGATGTCATTGGCGTATTCCGAGTACCCAACGCAGTCACCAAGGAGCAGTTCAACGCCGCATAACAGAGTTTTCCAAGGCAGTATTTAGGATCCTCGTCCATGGCGAAGTTGAACAAGAATGCAGAGGCTGGGCAACCCTGTCTAACACCGCTAGTGACATTAAAAGGGGGCGAAATGTCTCCGTATACTCGCACGCGGCCGGAAGTTTGACGGCAAATAGCACTCAGAATGCTGATGTGCTCCTCAGGTACTCTCCTCTTCAGTAAGCAGTCCCAAAGAGCCACTCTGTCAGCGAGGTCAAACGCGGCTCGAATATCCAAGAATATGACCATGGTTGGTCGACTGAACACATGGCGATGTTCAAGTATCTGGTGGATCGTAAAAATGTGATCGACGGAACTGCGACCCGGGCGAAATTCAGCTTGCTGTTCACGCAGATGTTGTTCCCTACGCGAATGAGCCTCCGCAAGAGTAGGGCAGCGAAAAGTTTGGATGCGACACAAATGAGACTGATGCCACGATGGTTGGAGCAAACGGTCCGGATCCCTTTTTGGTAGACAGGCACAACATCCGCTAATTTCTAGTCGGATGGGACGGTTTCAGTAGTCCAAGTCTGACGAAAGAGACGTCAGTTCACGGGTGAGAGCAAGACCCCCATACTTGAAGAGGGCAGGAAAAAGTTCATCTGAGTCAGGTGACTTGTAGCGCTTTGGTAGGCGATGTTCATAGGAAACCTCAGCATCAGTCAGTGGAGAAACATCCATGCATCAGGGAGCACTGTGAATCCCGGAAGATGGACTCGGTTGTGCTGGTGGCAGGAAGCAATGTTCTTCCAATTGCTCTGCCCATCGTTCCAGACGACGGTGGCGACTGTGAATTAGTTGGCCATCATTTTCGCACAAAACTTCACTCACTGTTGGCCTTCTGCCTCCCGTAGAGCATGATTTGGGTGTGAATGAAGGTCCCTCGGCAGTGTTGCACATGAAGCAGCAGCGGACTTTGGACGGATCCCAAAAAGAAAGGATGTTGGATTACTAAATAACCGAAACAAAATAGTAGGGTGTTCCTGTTGGAAGTGGGTGGGAAATTTTAACGCGTGGTGAGAACGAGGTTGAAAACCTTAGCACCTGATGAGCAGAAACTGAAACGAGAAAAAGTATACCGCAGGAGTGCGTAACAGCCTCGGGTTGGTGATGAAAACCCTCATAATATGATTTTGAGATGCTCTATCGTATGCGGTGGAATATCGTCGAGCTGTTCATGCAAAAGCCAGAACGGATAGGACAAATGATCGAAGAGTTGCGGTTGCGCGGTAAACTGATCACAAAATAGTTATGGCTAAGTCGTGAGCCAAACAAAGCAAAAAAACAAGAGATCAGAATTCCAATTTGGAACACCGCTTGAGGTAGCTGAGCTACAGAGCACAATCTGTTTGCCAGATTCACCACACTACTTTAAACATGGGAGAAAACGTTGCAGTAAAACGCAACTGAAAACTCGAAAGAATGAAGTCTCACCTGAGGGTATTCAAAGTTTCTTCCATATTCGAATCAGCTGGGCTCACACAAGCCAACATCACGGTTGTGCTGTTGCCACCAAGAGAGTCTTGTAGCAATCGGGTAAGGCGTGAATCTCGATAGGGAATGTGCGAGCGCTTTTTCGCATCCTTTTCACACAAGGCGCTGATTACATTACCAAGAGCTAATAGACCGCGGTTGATATTAATTCCTGGGAGATAAACATAATTACAGTATGACAGCAAGAAAGAAGCAGTGCATTAAAGTGAAGCAACACATAGTCCGAATTAACACACGAGGCCTGCGACATAGTGTGGTTGTTCGTGAACAGTAGGAAGGAGTTAAAACTGAAGTTAAGATGGAAAAGAATGCAACCGCTTAATACATTACACAGCAAAAGCAACAAGTTTCTAGCATAATGTGGAAGCGCACGCAAAACACAACCATTAGTAGCCTAACATGTATGCTAGCCTGTGGAGATACGGACAAGTCGTGTGTGCGTGTGTTCAATGCTACACTGGCACAGAGCTAATGTGATACAGAAAGGTTGAGGACAAATAAAGCAATGTGGCACACCTTCTTTGAGACGATCGCCTTCAGCGCGCGTCTTTTTCTGCCGTTCTGAGCCTGCGAGATCGACTAGATGCAACTTCGAAGACAATGTCACATTTTCCACTGGCGCTAAAGGATCGACTGTCTCCGCATCTGATCCCGCAGAGATGCTATGATGTTCCTTCGGGCGAATGAGGAAATGAAGAGTGAATACCGCATGACTGCGACTAGAGTGTTGGTTCATGGCGGTCCCACCGACAGCCCTCTTCTCTGAACCCGACTGGAGCAACGATAACACATCATCCGAAGAGTAGACTAAACATTCAGTCAAACCAGGAATCTGAACGAACAGGTGAACAAACAATGAGGCAGATTTACCTTAATAACCTGGTTATCCTCGCGGATAGGCAGCGGGATAGACGAGTCTTCTCCTAACAAATCGTGAATGTCTTCATTATAAATCTATAATAACATTGACCGATCAACTCAGAGATGATACCTCGAGAAAAGAAGCACGGATCGTGTATTCGAATGGTAGTGACGACATATTTTCGAAAATATCTCGAACCATTCGGGGGACTATTCCGTTGTTCGAATCCGTGGGACTCTTGAAACCGCAAGTTCCCATGGAATAAGTTTTTCCACTCCCTGTTTGTCCATAGGCCAGCAAAGTGGCGTTGTAACCCTGGAGGACAGTATCAACCATAGGCCGAGCTATTTGTGTATATAGTGTTTCCTGATGTGTAGTTTCATCGAACACATAATCGAAAGAGAAGAGTTTGTCTTGTCCAATCATTATCTGACGAGAATCAGAGGGATAAGATAAGCAAGAAGAGCAGCCATCATTGATCTCCACGTCAGAAAGCGGCCGGACTCGCACACCAACTTTGACACTGGCATCACCCATTATCTGCGAAGATAGAGCAAATATTCCAGTAAATTGAATACGCGATTCTTCCACTTATCAGGATACAAAGACCAGTTAAAGCGAGAGGCTAGATTATTCAACAGCGCTGGTGCGCTGTCGGTAAAAAGGAAGAGAAAAAATGGGCGTAAAAGCGGAACGCCCCCTAAACCACAAGTTAAGAAAAAAGGCAATCGAATGATGAACGAAAAGATTATAAATTCAGCACCGAGGAGACAGTAGGATGGGATTGCGGTAGATGTTGAATAAGGGGTCAAGTAAAAGTTAGAGAGATGGTGAATCTGATGAAGGTAGATCCGGAGCACGGAACGTTCGTGATACGATGTACGACCAGACATAATGAGCATAATAACGGGTAACACGTGTATATCAATGCCACGCGTGTATAACAATCAAAATTATCAATTACGCCCATTCATTTATCGGAGGAAAAACTGCGAAGAAATTTCTTTTCGATAAATCGCATCAGACAATTACAATTACGAAAGCCATAATCAAGTTGCATTCTTGATGCTTCTTCACCGCAGTTGGGCTAAACCAACTTACACTTAAACTAGGTCTTTTTAAGCAGGCTAAATTTCATTCCGCTTTACTTGGTTTGTTCTGCCTCCCTGAATAATGTTCTATTAACTGGCCACGTTGCTTACACTAATTGCGCTTATCTTCGGTAATTTTGTTGCGTTTGTAGAATTTTAAGTAACTTGTGGACATGTCTTACTTATCACGGATTTGTTGCTAACCAACTTACTTCATATGGTAATTTAGCGAAGAGTTATGCCACCGTATCTGTATGCATTATTGGATTCATCTTATTTCAGCTTGTCGTTTAAAGTGAATGGCTGTTGTTTGATATCCCTGGTATGGTTGCGCTTGATGTGTATGTTGACAAGGTGCCTACCTGTCTATTACCCACTACATCGTTCATACTGGCTCCAGGAGACAGTTGGTCGTTGCTGGAGGGGACGGGGTGCACGGTTCTTGTGGCCGTGCTAGGCTCAAAGAGCGGTTGCATGCACTCAGTGTGGAGCGGACTACGGTCCAGCCACCGCCTTGTGTGCGGTTGATTCCCCAAATACAGCGTGCTTGTGTTTGCCTGTGAAGGAGTGTGGGCCGGCTCCGTTGATGAAACGTGGTTCCCATCCGCATGCCTCCCGGTCTTATTCCTTCGGGTTTACACTGGATATGGGGTATGTGGTTGGAGCTGTGGGTGGTGCAGCACAAGCTATCCATGGTCCCTCTGTAGGCGCAGGCGTCCTGTGGCTTGCCACAGTGACAGGCAAATCCGAAACCGGATGCCGCCAACCATATATATATATATATATATATATATATATATATATATATATATATATATATAACCAACAGTCTATAAGATAGACAGAGCCAGCGAAAACCATGAAACGGAAGTAATAAATACAGAGAGCACAACGGAAAGAATGTCACAAAAAAGTATTTTTGGATTTTGTCTTTTTTGTTCTTCATCACACGCCGTTTTATCTTTATTTTGTCTCTTTAATGTTCGCGATATAAATCAAGCAAATCAAGACAAACATTCGTACACATTTTCCATTGAGCCCGGTTCTGTGCCATCTCAGAAAAAGTTTCCAGCCAACGGTGTTCTTCACCTTTGATCCCCCAGTCCGGAAGACGCACGGGACCTACGACAGCCAAACTGGAAGTCAGCACTTTAATCCTTTGCCGCCACGTGATAGCCTGACCCCCGCGCGATTACTTCCAGACTGGTCCTATGCGAGCGGAGAGAGCGCGTCGGGGCAGCCGTTCGCATTGCATGCGTAAAACGTGGCCCAGCCACCTCAGTTGGCGCAGTGGTACCAGTCTGTCAAGTGGAAGTCTCGTGTTACCCAAGACGCGACGTCTAACATCATCGTTGCGTACATGGTACATCCACTACACTCGAGCTATTCTCCGCAGGCATCCATCGTCAAAGGCTGAAATCCGACGCAAGTCATTCACACGAATCTGCCAGGATTCACTCCCATACAGCAGCACCGCGCGAACACAGGCATTGTAGACCCTGCTCTTTATCAATAGTGAAATGTCGCGGCGTCGCCACAGATGCCTCAAGTTGGCGAATGCCGAACGGGCTTTGGCAATGCGGAGGAAAATCTCTTGTCCAATGCACCATCAACAGAGACAGCTTCCCAGGTAAACAAAGTTGTCCACTTGTTCAAGCTGCGTACCTTGAAGAATAAGAACTAGAACAAGCGGATGCTAATCCAGGACCAGGACTTTGCATTTCGTAGGGGCAAAGGTCATTCCTAATTTGATGCTTCAATCGCCAAGCGGTTTAGAACGGCTTAAGTGCTCTGTACGTCATCACCAAACAAGGCAATATCATCAGCATAATCTAAAGCAGTCACGCGGTTGCCAGGAAGCTCTACACTAAAACCCTGAAAGCCCTCGAGAGCGTTTAAAAGGACATTATTGCAAAATTGAAGAGAAACGGGGACATGGGGCAACCCTGTCGTGCACCGCTAGTGACGGCAAAAGGTGAAGAGAGCTTACCATAAGCCCACACTTTAACTGAGACATTGCAATATAATGCTCGAAGGATGGTGCTATACTTTTCGGGTAAACCATTCTTTTGTAAGAAACGACATAAAGCTGGCCGATCGACGGAGTCGAAAGCCGCTCGAATGTCCCGAAAAACAACGATAGTGGGCTTGTGATAAAAACGACGCGTTTCAAGGAGTTGGCGGAGCGTAAACAAGTGATCTATACACCCTCGACCGGGGCGGAAACCAGCCTGTTCTCCACGGGAGTGCAATTCTCGAATCGCGGTTAGTCTGCGGAGTAGAATGGATGTTAACAGCTTGGTGGCAACGGACATTAGACTGATTCCTCGGTGGTTAGTGCATATGGTACGGGCACCGTACTTGAAGATCGGGAGGATAATTGACTCGCTCCAAGCGGACGAAACTGTTTCTTCACACCAGGTCTTAGAGAATAAAGCCGTTAACTGGTTGACAAGTGCTTCGCCCCCGAACTCGAACAGCTCTGGAGGAAGTCCGTCTGAGCCAGCAGACTTGAATCGGAGCTCAAGGCAGACCTCAGCTTCAGTGCGTGGTTCCAATGAGACGTTCCAAGGCGCGCAAGTAGGTATACTCAATAGACTCGCCGGCGGAGGAGCCCAGCTGAATTGAGTGCGGAAGTGTTCAGCCCAGCGGTCCATACATCTGTGTAAGTTGCTTATCGGCGTTTCGTCAACCTCGCAAATGACCTCACTGACACCAGGTCTTTTGTGACCAGTGGCCCGAATGATCTGGAAGAGCTTGCGATGTGTCGATCCGTCGTGTATGCCGCAACCGGAGGAATGGTGGCCATGAATGTCAATGCAAACCTACAACCATGAACCATGAAGTCAGTTGACTTGGCTAGGGCCACGGTAGTGCTCTAGGTCAGTTCACTTGCACCTGTGGTGCGAGGTGCCTCGGACACACGACCAGACGTATGCCAAAGCAGATAGCGGAACACTGCCCCAACACATTATAACGTGATACCACCAGTAATGTCCACAGCTCCATCCTAGAACACATAGTAGACAGTGGACACGACATACGAACTAAGGGTGCTGTCAGAATAGTGTATATGACATCAAAACAATGCGCAAAGGGACCCAGAAAGCGCCTGCTGGCAACAACAGAAGCCAATACGATCAAGTGACTCAAGCCGGAACTGTGTATCCAGCGTGTACTTGTGCAAAGTCTAACAATACCGTGGCCCTAGTCTAGTCAGATGACTTCAGACATAATGGTCAATGGTAGTGAGTTTGAATTGACATCCACTGCCACCATTCCTCCGGTCGCAGCATACAGGACAGATCGCCACATCGCTAGTAATAGTTACTGTTCTAATGATTATGAATTTCATAATCGTAATTGCCTGACGAAATTTATCGGAAAGAAATTTCTTCGCAGTAATCAAAATGCTGCGACATGTGGTGGACACTGTTGAACTCCGCGTTGGGTCACTTTCCAGGCAGGTAACATGAAGCCCACATTAGTTAGAGGCTGGGCCAAATTGATAGAAAAAGCAACAGTCGCCCGCTAACAAAGTACTGAGCCAATGTAGTAACGATACCGATTCGGAAAGAACAAACGAATTATAACATGCGTTGGTCACAGTAGGAGTAGAACCTATACCGATGTGTTAAAACATGGGAATACAATGTTCCAAAAGTCATCACACAACGAATGTTAACACCCAGTGAGATGAAATCGAAGTTAGTGAGAACGAAAGCATGCTACGAAAAGTGAGTATGGTCACTTTCCAGATATAAGAAACTGCCACAGTAGTGAGAAAAATGATGGTAAAACGCATCGGCAGTACACCGGTACGTGGTCTCGACGCTTCACTGCAATGGAACCACCCCCGGTCACATGTGAGAGGTCCTTCGTACATACTCACGCTCGAAATGAGCTGGCTCGCCGAACAACCTCCACATGGTGCTAGCTGGGTGGCTCGGGTTTATGCTGGTCTGACAAATGATTCTGGGGCATCGTTAAGAGACGTGGCGGGTTTTCGCCTGACAAGCGTTGTCAATATAAAAGCCAAGTAGTCCGTTTAACAGCACTGCGACGTAACGGATGCAACTCAGCACTAAATAGTTCCCTCTTGCTTGGGCACAGTGAAGTATTGTATTCTAGAAACCTGAGGCTAAAATTTAAGGACAGTTGGGGCCCTCTTTGGTAACTGATCAATCTAAAGGAATGGGAACTGAGCGATTAGCCACCTGCTCCCGATGGGCATGATTCCATCACTTCGCCTCGATGATTTGTGGGTAGTATATTCAAGCAATTGCTTGAGCAACTAGGTAGTATCATGCCCACTAAAGAAACAAAGTGTTACACTGCGTTGTGTTCCCGTTTCTTTTTCGACTGGTGTACAATGCTAGCGCCCAATACTGCAGTCAAAGAATAACCAAAAGCTCCGAATGGAACCGGCCCCAATGATGCCTGTAGGTG